TCTTCATTTGATGTTCTAGGGTTTCAGGATTGTTGATTCTCTGTTTGGCTTAGTTTTTCGGATCTTTGTTGTGGAGGGACGGCGTGGTGTTTCTGCCTAGAGCGCCATCTTGCCGGAACTCCGATAGGCATTTTTTTTTTTAAGTGGAATTCACATATTATGTACCAGGATAAACTCCAAATGGATCTGAGATTTAAATATTTAGAACTTAAACCATATAAAGTTTAGAAGAAAAGATGGATTTCTTTTTATCTTTGGAGTGGGACAGCCTTTTTTACTATGACTTAAAGTCTCAGAGCCATAAAAGCAAAGCTTGATAAGACTATATAAAATTTAAAAACTTCTGCATGGCCAAATAAACCCCATAAGCAAGGTCAAGACACAAAATGACAAACTTGGAGAAAAGATATGCAACTCATATCACAAAGGACTGCTCTCCCTAATGTATAATGAGTTCCTAGAAAAGATAACAGTTCAGTAGAAAAATGGTTAGAGCACATGGATGATCACAGAAAAAGAAAACCAAATGGTTCTTGTTAGATGTCATGAAGTTGATTTTGACTCATAGCAACCCAATGTGACAGAGTAGAACTGCCCCATAGGATTTTCTAAGCTGTGATCTTTACGGAGGCAAATCGCCAGGTCTTTCACGGAGCTGCTGGGTGGGTTCAAACCACAAACCTTTCGGCTGGCAACTGAGTGCTTAACTGTTGCGCCACCAGGGCTTCTTAAATGTATAAAAAGATGCTCAATCTCTAAGTAGGAAAAAGTAAATTAAAACTACACTGAGAAGACTAAGTGGCACAACCCCTCTTGAAGAGAATTTGGCAGTTATCTACCAAGATTACAGATACATTTAGCCTTTAACTCAGTAGTCCTACTCTTGGGAATCCCTCCTATAGAAACTCTTGTATTAACGTGAAATGACATACATACAGGTTATTTTTGCAGTGTTGTTTATTTAGTACAGTCCTACTCTCACACACATGGGGTTGCCATGAATTGAAACTGGTTAGATTTTTTTGTTTATTTACTAGCAAAAGTTTCAGAACAATCCAGCAGTAGGAGATTGGTTAAATAAACCCTGGTGAATCCACCAAATTGAATATTACACAACTCAATGTAAAAAGAACAAGGAACCTCTCTGTGTGTTGTTATGGAAAAAAGCAAGGTGCAGAATAGTGTGTGGCAACCTTTTGTGAAAGAAAGAGGGAGAGTAATATTTATTCTTGTCAGCCAATATTTACAAAACGAAACACTGGGAGATTAAAAAAAAAAAAAAGTTGCCTATTGAGGTTAGAGAAAAACCGGGTGGATTAGAATGAGATATTTTTTAGTATATACCTTTTTATATTGTTTTGATTTTTTTGAACCCCATCATTGGTGGTTCAGTGGTAAAGTTCTCCCCTTTCGTGCGGGAGACCCAGGTTTGATTTCTCGCCAGTGTACCTCACGTGCAGTGGGAGCTTGTGCGTTGCTATGATACCGAAAAGGTTTCAGTGGAGCTTCCAGACTAAGATAGACTAGTAAGAAAGGCCTGGCAATCTGCTTCTGAAAATCAGCCAATGAAAACCCTATAGATCATGTAATGGATTGAATTGTGTCCCCCCAAAATACGTGTCAACTTGGTTAAGCCGTGATTCCCAGTATTGTGTGGTTGTCCTCCATTTTGTGATTGATGTAATTTTCCTATGTGTTGTAAATCCTAATCTCTACCTGTGGTTAATGAGGCAAGATTATATTATGTTAAAGAGGATTAAGGTGGGATGTAACACCCTTACTCAGGTCACATCCCTGATCCAATGTAAAGGGAGTCTTCCTGGAGAAACTTTATCTCACAGGAGATAAAAGGAAGCAAGCAGAGAGTTGGGGACCTCATACCACCAAGAAAGCAGCAGCTCCGGGAGCAGAGCTCGTCCTTTGGACCCAGGGTTCTTGCACGGAGAAGCTCCTAGACCAGGGGAAGATTGATGACAAGGACCTTCCCCTAGAGCCGACAGTGAGAAAAAGCCTTCCCCTGGAGCTGGCAGCTTAAATTCAGACTTCTAGCCTCCTAGACTGTGAGAGAGTAAATTTCTCTTTGTTAAAACCATCCATTTGTGGTATTTCTGTTACAGCAGCACTAGATAACTAACACAGATCACAACGATCTGATCCACAACTGATCATGGGAATGGCTCAGGACTGGGCAGTGTTTCACGCCATTGTGCGTGGGATCACGAGTCAGGGTCTGACTCAGTGGTAGCTAACAACAAGAAGTATCAAAAAAACCCCACTACCATTGAGTGGATTCCGACTCGTAGCGACCCTATAGGACAGAATAGAACTGCCCCATGCAGTTTCCAAGGCTGTAATCTTTATGGAAGCAGACTGCCACATCTTTCTCCCAAGGAGTGGCTGATGGGTTCGAACTGCTGACCTTTCGGTTAGCGGCCTAATGCTTAACCACTGCGCCACCAGGGCAACAACAAGAATATTTCCCATTAATTTTTTGAATCATAGAAAAAAACAAAGTATATAAATAAGATAAATGTGATCCTTTAAGTTTTTTAAAAAAAGACAAGTCTACATTTTAAAAATAATTAGTGACAAACTGTTATTAAGTAGTTAATGTTATAGATTAGTATAAATACTAACAGTTTCCCTAGTAAGCAATGAATTTCAAACCACAAGTCGAGGGTGTATTGTATGCTTTTAAAATAGACTTCGTAGTAGTTGGGAACCCACTGAACTTGAGGCTTTCTTGTCCCATCTAGGAAAAACTTCTTGAAAAATGATGTATCCTTTCAATAGGTGGCAGTCTTTCCTCTGTTACAAACTAAGGGCTAAATTCCTGATAACCCAAGCCAAACCTGTTGCTGTCGATTCTGACTCTGGTGACCCTATAGAGCAGAGTAGAATTGCCCCCTTAGGATTTCCAAGGAGCAGCTGGTGGATTCGAACTGCCAGCCTCTTTTGGTTAACAGCTGAGCTCTTAACCACTGCACCTCCTAGTAGTAGTTATCATCGCTTCTCTTTGTGAACAACCTACTTCCAAAAAATTTTACCTGATGATAAGTTTAAAGCAACCAATGGAATCACTGATTCAGTATCAACTTTAGTTAAAGGTAAATTATTAATTTTTTAAAATCATGCTGCATTAGCTAGCACACCTGCTAAGGTAACTTTCCCTGCTTATAGTAAGGGGCATGTGGCAGATAAGACATTGCATTGCCACAGATGAGATTTTATTTTTAAACCCACCAGAGGGAAAAACCCATCAATATATATAAGAATCATAAGTACTGCCATGTCTTCATTTAAATAATAGAATCGAAGATCCTGCTATAATTCCTTAAATTTCTCCTATTTCTTGACTATGTGAATTTCGGTATGAGAACGCATGTCAGCACTTTTTTCATAGTAGTTGGTCCTTTGACTGTTGAAAGTGTTATGCTTGTCTGTCAGAGCCTGTTCCTAGCAGTGCTGAGCCACCTAGGAACGCATCTTCCCAAGCTTCTTGGTCTGGGCAGTTTAGACCCATCAGTGCAAAGCAAGCAATTTTACCAAGTTTCTAAAACCTGAGGAAACGTGGTAGGTCTGGAAGACGCTTCAAGAGGTAGATCACTTGTTAAAATTTGCATCGTACTCTCAGGAAAATCTAACTTGTTTTAGAAAGATAAATTTCTGCCTTAATCATGGAGATTTTTAGCCTAAGCCTAGCAACTTATTCCAATATCTCCCCATCCTTACTCCAGCAAGAAGTTCTTCCTTAATGTCTACTTTGAATCCCTCTGTTATATTTTTGTTATGTTTTCCCTCCTGGTCCACATTTACTGGAATTGGAAAACAGGAGTATAGATCATTTTTTAAAATACTCAAAAAACAGCTGCTTCTGAGGAAAGCATGATATTTTGAAACTGGAAGAGTGATTGACTCAGCTGTCATGATTTTTTAAATTTAATGATTCATTTTTATAGTCTCATTTGTAAAGAAAATAACATTTATTTGTCAAAAATAAATGTTTCATTATCTTTTAAATTGAGAAACACAACACCAACTAATTTTTCTCAAGGTCACGGTGAATAGACATATTTATGACAGAACCAGAAAAAAAGAACACACAGCTTTCATGTTTAAGTGAAAAACTTTTTTATTGCATTGTTACACGGCATGTTATTTGTAAGTACCCTATGAGACCAGATCTTGAAATAGTGTTGGAAAATTTCACAATGGATAGGGAAAATATAAATTTGAAAAATTCTGAAGCCCAATTTTGCTATTTTAATGTATACAAAGTATACATTAACAAAATATTGATAATTGAAGTATTATTTTAAGAAGGAGATAAGAATTTGTCATTAGCAAACCATATGCTGAGGGTGGCTACTGAACTGGAATAGTTTTTCTTAAGTAAGTTGAATAATTCCTCTTATAATCTTATTTAGAGAATACATTTAATTTTCTTATCATTCCCTTTCTCCATAATACAAAGATAAACCTTGAATTTGTAATCAGATTGGTACTAATTTCAAGTTATTAATGACTAAATGAGGTATTACTAAACTGTCATTTTAAATGCTTTGACTCTTTTGTTTCTCTTATAGAGAAGAAAACTTCACCTCAGCCCGGAACACTGTAGTAACTTTTATGTGGAACAGTATGGGAAAATGTTTTTTCCCAATTTAACAGCTTACATGAGTTCTGGACCACTTGTTGCCATGATATTAGCTAGACATAAAGCCATCTCTTACTGGAAAGAACTTTTGGGACCAAGTAATAGCTTAATAGCTAAGGAAACACATCCAGACAGGTAATTTTCCTAGGGGAAAAATACGCAATCTATATGTGAAAATGAAAAAAAAATTCTGATTTTATTGTAATAGGAATTTCCTTTCTTATGGAAGTTTTTCTAAATTAGTTTTTTTTTTAAGGGGGGGGTTCATTTTAGATTTTAACCATTTAAATCTATGTCTTAATCCAAATATCACAAAAGACCTCAGGAGATGTCTGATTTATGATTAATTAGCCTTATTCTTCTCTCATCCTGTCCCAAAGTAGGGTTTTTCATGGGAAAATTGGTATGATATTTTAGAAGAATATTGGTAATATTGGACCAGAAATACAAAATTTTAGCATTATCATTAATGTCTGGAAGGTAACTGAATTCTTGCACTTTTGAATAGCCATTGCTTTTTCACTTCTCCTAAAACAATGCCTCTTTTTCACCCAGAGAACTCCTAGTTTCCCAGTGTATCTCTCCTGCTGTTTAAATACATTTGACTCTCATCGAGATAGATTTAAGCTGAAATTCAAAATAGATTAAAGCCTCCATATGTAAGAAGTGACAATGCTTTGGTAAAATTCCTAAATAGAATACATATGTAAAAAATGAGGAAAGGACATCAGATTGAATGATCATCATCTCTAACTTGCTTTTAGTCTAAGAGCAATTTATGGCACAGATGATCTAAGGAATGCACTTCATGGGAGTAATGACTTTGCTACAGCAGAGAGAGAAATTCGATTCATGTTTCCTGAAGGTGAGTTACATATGAATAATTTGTCAATTCCATCTGCTTATTATTTGCTTTTTCTTTTATTTGGGGGATGTAGGTGGGAAGGGAGATAACAGGATTTTTCTCCAATACATTTTATCAGATTCAAGTCGTAGTTACTTAAAAACTTGAAGTAAAGAATAAAGAACTCAACATTTCCCTTAGAACCAAGTTGTGCCCTCTAAGAAATATCCTGAGAAGAGTTTACTTTTTTTCCTTTCTCTTCTCTTGGACTGGACTTATTTAGGGTCTACGTTTCTCTTCTCCTCCTGTGTTACTCCTTAAAAATCTGTCTTGAAAATTGTGATTGATCCCAAGGTTCACCCTTCAGCCAAAGATTAGACAACCCCATAAAACAAAACGAGACTAATGGGGCACAACAGCCCAGGGACAAGGACTAGAAGGCAGGAGGGGACGGGAAAGCTGGTAAATAGGGAACCCAAGGTCGAGAAAGGAGAGTGTTGACATGTCATGGGATTGTTAACCAATGTCATAAAAAAATATGTGTACTGTTTAATGAGAAACTACTTGTTCTGTAAACCTTCATCTAAACTACAATAAAATTTTAAAAAAAGGAAAATCATGATTGATTTACTATTTTCTCTAACAATTTCTTGTTTGTCTAACAAAGTCTCATGCAGTTGTGAAATTAATAATTCTCAGATCCTTTTATTGTTTGCATCCTGTTATGGAAGTGATAAACCTTCTTTCAGAAGTAGACTTAAAGACATGGAAGCTCCATAGATACATCCAAACTCCCTGAGGGACCGAATTGCCAGGCTGAGGGCTGTGGGGACCATGGTCTCAGGGAACATCTAGCTCAATTGGCATAACATAGTTTATAAAGAAAATGTTCTACATCCTACTTTGCTGAGTAGCGTCTGGGGTCTTAAAAGCTTGTGATCGGCCATCTAAGATACTCCACTGGTCCCACCCCATCTGCAGCAAGGGAGAATGAAGTAAACCAAAGACACAAGGAAAAGATTAGTCCAAAGGACTAATGAACCACGACTACCACAGTCTCCACCATACTGAGTCCAGTACAACTAGATGGTGCCCGGCTACCACCACTGACTGCTGTGACAGGGATCACAATAGAAGGTCCTGGACAGAGCTGAAGAAAAATGTACAACAAAATTCTAACTCAGAAAAAAAGACCAGACTTACTGGCCCAACAGAGACTGGAGAAACCCCGAGAGTATGACCCCCGGACGTACTTTTAGCTCAGTAATGAAGTCACTCTTGAGGTTCACCCTTCATCCAAAGATTAGACAGCCCCATAAAACAAAATGAGACTAAAGAGGCACACCAGCCCAGGGGCAAGGACTAGAACGCAGGAGGGGACACGAAAGCTGGTAATAGGGAACCCAAGATCAAGAAGGTAGAGTGTTGACATGTTGTGGGGTTGTTAACCAATGTCATAAACAATATGTGTACTAACTGTTTAATGAGAAGCTAGTTTGTTCTGTAAACCTTCATGTAAAGTATAAAAAAAAAAAAAAGACTTAAAGAGGAACAGCAATAGCCAGCTAAAGTTTCTTGTTTGTCTTCAATATTTTTAGAGCTGAAAGAAAATTTGGTGATTTTCATTATAAAGAAAAAAATGTAAAGCATTGGGCAGCTTTGCTTTTTTGGGGGGATGCATATTGTTTTTCTCTTAAGTCATTTAGAGCTGTTCCTCAGTATTTTCTACTGAAGATTCATTAAAATTTAAAAAAAAAAAAAAACCCTGTCTTAGAGATTTTAAAAGTCCCTGATTCTTAAACAAACAACCCCAAAACTACTGTTTTATAGATATTTGTACATAAAAGGATTTTCCCACCTATGTATTTTAGTCTTACCGATCAGATGTAAGTTGTCACATATCCATTTCATTACAATATCTTTTTCTTTATAATTTTTTTGTGGAAAATTTGAAGCATTCATAGAAGTAAACAGAATAATAAAACAAACCTCTAATTAACCCATTACCCAACCTTAGCAATTGTGGTCACTCTTGTTTCATCTATATACCTCTCTCCCCGAGCTCCTTCTTCTCCTGCTCCCATATTATTTTGAAGCACATTTCAATATGAGATGTCTTTCTAATGTGGTAGCACTGTAGGTTTAGTCCTACTAGTGAATTATCTTAAGTAAAAGGTATATTTGGAAGCTCTTCTTACTCGTAGGTTTATATTCCTTAGCTGTTATTTTAGATTGCCTTTGTTTTTTTCCCATTGATTGGCCTGTAGACCTGAGTTTAGATATTTGTGAAGCAACAAGTTGTGGGATAAATATAAACTCTTAGTTACCCACCACACTGTAGATCTTTCGCTATGAGAATGTGAAGTTCTCTGGAGCATGATCTCAGAGAGTTTGTGGTGTGAGCTTCTTAGCAAGTGATCAATAACTGTGAAAAACTCTATATGATGAGCCACTAAGGCAAGTTATAAAGATTCAAAGACATGTTCCTAACTCTTGCAAGGGTAGTTCTCTCCCTTTTCCTTCTCTCTCTCTTTTAATAATATTTATTGTGTTTTAGGTAAAAGGTTACATAGCAAATTAGGTTCCACTTTCACAATTTTTATACAGATTGTTCCGTGCTATTGGTTACAGTTTTTACAATGTGTCAGCATTCTCATTCTTTCCATTCTGTTTGTTCTGTTTCCATTGATCTAGCTTCCCTGCCTGCCTTGCCTTCTCGCCTTTACTTTTGGATAAATGTTACTGTTTGGTCTCATATAGTTAATCGTTTAAGGGAGCACATTACTCATGGGTGATGCTGTTTATTTTATAAGCCAATCTATTAATTGATTGAAAGGTGACCTGCAGAAATAGCTTCAATTCAATGTTCAAAGGTTATCTTAGGGATAGTCTCTCAGGTGTTCCTCTAGTCTCTATCGGTCCAGTAGGTCTGGCCTTTTTAAAGAATTCAAGTGTTTTTCTACATTTTACTCCCGTTCTATATGGGACCTTTTATCATGTCCCTGGTCTGAATGGTTGGTATTTGTACTGGGGCACTGGCTAGTTCCTCTGGTCTCAGGTTTGAAGAGGTTATGGTTCGTGTAGGCTGTTAGTCTTGTGGATTGGTTTCTTCTTTGAGCCTTTGATTTCCATCATTCTCTTTTGCTCCATACAAGTAGAGACCAATAGTTGTATTTTAGATGGCTGCTCACAAGCTTTTAAGACCCCAGATGCTACTCACCAAACTCAGATGTAGAACATTGTCTTTGTGAGCTATGTTATGCCAAGTTGACTAAGTTGTCCCCTGAGACTCTCCCCCTTTCTCTTTTAATGTTGTTGTTAGTTGCCCTAGAATCAGTTCCGATTCATGGCAACCCCATGTGTGTAGAGTAGAACTGCTCAATAGGGTTTTCAAGGCTTTCACCTTTCAGAAGCCGATCACCAGGCCTGTCTTCTGAGGCACCTTGGTAGGTTCAAACCACCAACCTTTTTGCTGTTGTGCCATCCAGGGACTCCTCTCTATCTTTTTTTTAAATTGTGCTTTAAAACAGCTGAAGTTACTCATACAAAATGTATACACACATTGTTACGTGACCCTAATTGCTATCCCTATAATGTGACAGCACACTCCTCCTTTCCACCCTGGATTTCCGTGTCCATTCAACCAGCTCCTATCCCTTTCTGCCTTCTCATCTCGCCTCCGGACAGGAGCTGCCCATTTAGTCTCATGTATCTACTTGAGCTAGGAAGCACATTCTTCACAAGTATCATTTTATGTCCCATAGTCCAGTCTATTCTTTGTCTGAAGAGTTGCCTTTGGGAATGGTTTTAGTTCTGGGTTAACAGAGAGTCCAGGGCCATGTCTTCTGGAGTTCCTCCAGTCTCAGTCAGACCATTAAGTCTGGTCTTCTTACTAGAATTTGAGTTCTGCCTCTCACTTTTCTCCTGCTCCGTCAGGGACTTTCTGTTGTGTTCCCTGGCAGGGAGGTCATTGGTGGTAGCTGGGCACCATCTAGTTCTTCTGGTTTCAGGCTGATGGAATCTCTGGTTTATGTGGCCGTTTTGTCTCTCGGGCTAATATTTTCCTTCTGTCTTTGGTGTTCTTTATTTTCCTTTGTTCCAGGTAGGTTGGGACCAATTGATGCATCTTAGATGGCTGTGTGCTAGCTGTTAAGACCCCACACGCTGCTCACCAAAGTGGAATGCAGAACATTGTCTTAATAACTTTGTTATGCCTGTTGACTTAGATGTCCCCTGAAACCATGATCCCCAGACCCTGGCCCCTGCTACTCTGTCCCTCGAAGTGTGTGGTTGTGTTCAGGAAACTTCTTAGCTTTTGCTTTAGTCCAGTGGTGCTGACTTCCCCTGTATTGTGTGTTGTCCTTCCCTTCACCTAAGATAATTCTTGTCTACTATCTAGTTAGCGAATTTCCCTCTCTCTCCCTCCCCACACTTGTAACCATCAAAGAATGTTTTCTTCTGTGTTTAAACCTTTTCTTGAGTTCTTATAATAGTGGTCTCATACAATATTTGTCCTTTTGCGACTGCCTAATTTCACGCAGCATAATACCTTCCAGATTCATCCATGTTATGAGATGTTTCACGGATTCATTGTTGTTCTTTATCGTTGCATAGTATTCCACTATGTGAATATACCGTAATTTGTTTATCCATTTGTCTGTTGATGGGCACTTGGGTTGTTTCCATCTTTTTGCTATTGTGAACAGTGGGGCAGTGAACATGGGTGTGCATATATCTATTCATGTGATGGCTCTTTTTTCTCTAGGATATATTCCAAGGAGTGGGATTTCTGGATCATATGGTAATTCTATTTATAGCTTTTTAAGGAAGTACCAAATTGATTTCCAAAGCAGTTGTACCATTTTACATTCCCACCAGCAGTGTGTAAGTGTTCCAGTCTGTCCACAACCTCTCCAGCATTTATTATTTTGCGTTTTTTGGATTAATGCTAGCCTTGTTAGGGTGAGATGGTATCTCATTGTAATTTTGATTTGCATTTCTCTAATGGCTAATGATCGTGA